TCAGATCTGATCCAGAGCTTCGTCGATCCGCGAGGAGATCTAGAAACTTGAAGCGCCTATCTCGATAAAAGCGAGATATTTGCTCTTCTTAGTATTACCACAACGGGATAATACTAAGGATCGGGTACGGGTGATATAGATCTGACGAAGAAACTCTCTTGCGTTGAAGTGCTCGATCACTCTTCACTCCGGCAGGTCTTCGCCAATTCTCCAAAATTCCAGATCTGAAAAAATGAGGCCTAAGGCTTGTATTTATAGGCATGAGGGGCTGCGGAGCGGTTAAAACCACTTAAAGGGGTCAAATCCGCGCTGAGACACCCTAGGGGTGTCTTGGCTTGGCCGAGACACCCTTGGGGTGTCTTGACTTGGCCGAGACACCGTAGGTGCCTCAGTTAAGCTTTGAGATGTTTTCAATGCCCGTTTGACTGTTTTCGCTGTAACTTCTTCGTCTGAACTCGAATTTGAGTGATTCCAAATGCGTTGGAAGTCTGACGAAGAGTTCTATCAGCTCCAATGGTTAGATTATCTGTAGAATGAACGAGACACGAAGGGTGTTGTTCCTTTTGTAAACCTCGCGGGGTTCTCGATTAGCCTGTGCCTTCGTTATTTTGAAATTCTGTCAGCTCACGTAGTTCGTCGGTTCACTTAAAGCGTTCACCGACATCAGTCGAACTCCTGTGAACCAAATAGTGGAGACCTATAGGTAATTTTCAATGCCTACAATAACATGTACTATTTGACTGGAAGTACGGTGACAGGTGAAGAGCTGGCGACTTTTATTGATTCGGCTAGACTGTGGCGTTTGAGGAGGCTGGGACATTAGAGTGTTGATTCCATGCATGAATTAGTGAGAGGTGCTTTGACATGCAATTTGAATACCTATGAACATATTGGTGTGAGCAAGAAGACCGATGTGAAGTTTGGCACTTCTATTCACCGAGCGAAGGTTCTTCTAGATGGTGTTCACGTAGGCATTTGGGGGCCTTCCAAGGAGGCATCATTCGGAGGTAATAGGTATTTGGTTTCCTGTGTTGAAGATTATTCTAGGCATTTGTGGGTTGCAACCAAGTCCCGTTGGAGTGAATTCCTAGTAGTCAACAACAGGTGGAAGAAGTGTATTGAGACAAAGACAGATAGGAAGTACAAGAGGAATCTGTTTCTGGATTTGTGCCGAGCTCAAGGCAGTTTGAGACACTTCATTCGAAAGGAAACTTTGGGGCAGATTTGATGAGCTGTTCCTTGCTGGAGGAAGATCGGTGTTTGATGTCAAGCAGTAGTTTGCAGAGAAGTTTTGATGTTGAGGTTTTGACATATTAGAGCCATCTTATTCATAGGTTGTCGTCTGCTGCGATTGGAGTATTTGGATCTGCTGGAGCTGCTTCCGATTTTGAATGCTTCGGATATTTGGATGCCCATCATATTGTCACATCGAAGATGTAAAATTTCATCTGAGTGCACATTTGGGATTCAGAAGCGTGTTTGGTTACCAGGTATGAGACTCTGATATTGTTCTGAGTAGTAGTGTCACATTTGACTCTCAGCAGGTGGAGAGTATTGGACAGATCATGGGTGTATCGTAGTGGGTGGAGGATGATGTTACTCCACGTTGGGTGGGGATTACTTCACGTTCTCCAGATTATTCTATATCATTTGGGATTCCAGCTAAGGTGACACAAATTAGGGATCATGCTGATGTAGATGCAGATGATGAGTTTGATTATTCGAGTGTAGCTGGTGGACACAGTTTAGATTTGGCTATGGTCGTTGACTCGCCTCAGGTGGAGATGTTTGGTTCTTTTCACTTTGAGACCATTGAGAGAGTTATCAGCTGCATATTTGTTGATGATGATCGAGAAGGGTTGAGAACTCTTCTAATTGATTGAGGGCCTTTGGAGGCCATTTGGTGAACTACGTGAGGCTTGATTCCTTGGACAAGAATATACGTAGGTAGTCATTTTATGATTCAGCCGGTTTGTTAGTTGATACCGACATTTGGAGTTTGTTCGCATTCTCGTTTGGGTTCCTGACTTGTTATGGATTGAGTCCGTTGTTATGGATTTGTTCCACTCCGTACTGGACGCAACAAGTGATATGTTGGTTGGTATTGGTGTCGGCTCAGTTTTGGAAAAACTTCACCGAGGTGGAGAATTGAAGGAACGGGAACGACGGCGATGAAGTTCAGGAAAAACGACGAAGAAAACACTTTGGAGGCTTTAAAGTCAACCACGGTGACTTTAGCGGTCGACTGTAAATGTGCACAGACTCAGGGTCTATTCTAGATTTCTTGCGGTCAACCGCGACGGTCGACCGCGGCGGTGACCGTGGACTGCCACGGTCGACCGCGACTTTGTCGGCGGTCGACCGTCAGTCGGGTTTGGGCCTAGGCTTGGTTTCATGTTCTGTTTGGGATTGCTGTTTGATATAAATAACAACCATGTATTTAGAGAGAGAGTATTGGGTAGCTTGAAGGAGAGTTTTGTGCACAGAAAAGAGAGTTTTCTGAGCAATTTGGTTATGGTTTTAATTTGAGAGATTTGAGAGCTTTATTTGAGATATTAATTGGTGAGTTTGAGTGATTTTGTAATCTCTATTTGTACTATCCCTCTATTAGTGAAAACTCATCCCCTTCTTGCCCCGTGGATGTAGGCAACTTGTCGAACCACGTAAAATTTGTTTGTTTGTGTTCGTGTCGTTATTTTGATTGTGTGTGAACTTCTCACTCGGTGTTTGTATTTGTCCTCGCACCCCCAACAATTACTGCTCATTAACCAATTCAAACAGTTACAATTTAGTCAATCTCGATCATGTTAAAGTCTCACTATAATTACCGAGACAAAGAATCCAATTTCAGCTAATTCAAGTCAAATATTTAACACACACTATAACAAACATATACTTGCAGTGCAGATTTTTGATAATCAATTGTCAAACTTTGCAGTTATAGGAGAATGATAAAAGGATATAGCAGAGACCTGTCTTTAAATTGATTTATATTTCTAATCTTATGGTCAGAATATAAAACTATATCCTCGACCCTCATCATATCTTTAGAGTTTTGGTGTTATGACAATATCCTTTTAAATAGTTTCGCAACAACTCAAGTTTAAATCTTATTGTCTACGAATTTAATACAGATTTTAAAATTGGACAATCTCATGAGTTCTTGCTACGCATGACGAAATCAACTTCTTAGAATCATACTCGACTCTTTGCAGATTTCCAGAAGATCAAAACATGATAAATCATTGTTACTTCAATTGAATGCTCCAAAATCTGATTTCTACTTTCTGCAAATTGATTGTATCTTCTCCCTGCCAGTGTTCACAACTGGCGAATTTCATCATGCACTTTCCTGCGAATCTTGCTTTTCAGCATTTAACAACAGATATCAATTTCGCAAAAGTCTACACCTTGATCCCACTGGAAGTGGCAGAATATCAACAGTTCAATCTACTGGCAATTTTTCTCTGAGAAGTAGAGGAAGAAAGACTATTATGTGTGAGGATTCTTCATCCTATACAATGGTACCAATTAATTTACCTATTTTATTTTATTTTTATTTTGGATTTTCTTCATATTTGTGTTTATATATGAACAGAAACCTAATTCCACAAAAGGGAAACAAATAAAAGAAATTAGACCAAGCCACCAAGGTAAACTGACAACATAGACGTCTAAAATTCTGCGGATAAGTTGTGAAAGTAATCAAAATGTCTGTTCATCTCCGGCTTAGTGTCATTGGTCATTTGACTCAATGTATGGCTATAGTTATCTTCCTTCCACTTGAAGATATCTCAAGCAACTTAGAAAATTAGAGAGAAAGCGAAAGCTAAGGCGATATCCAAAATTTTCCAAACAATTATATCCTTTTTGCGTAGAATTTTCCCATAGCGAGTCATTATTTCCCGATGGTACTCAGGATTATTTGGTCAAGTTTGAACAGGCAGTTCATTCTAATTAAAGACCTTTCCTTGGTCTTCTCATGAATAATGTAGGTCATTAAGATGGAGACCTTGAGCCGTGCCCTAGAGTTGTTACCATTTGATTTAGAAATTTTTGAGTCATGAACAATTAGGTCAGTCAAGTTAGTAACTTTTTTCTGGGTTTTAATTGGACCAAAAGCGCAATATGTGAGCATAGTTATGTACATAGTTAAATGGGTCAATTGCGGATCGACCCCTGTACTGTCACTCAGTTGCAAAGAGACCCCCTATACTTCTATTATATCAATAAGACCCCAAAGTTAACTTTATTTTTTTACTCTTTTACTGTCAGAGAAAGAGAAATATTATTCTTTGACAAAATAGACCTCCTGAGGGTGAATGAGCGAAAAAATTTTACTCAAGGGTTTACCTGTAATTAGGTGATAGTACAAGGGGTCTATCTACAATAATAAAACTCAAGGGGTCTATCCGCAGCGAACCCTAGTTAAATAACTAGGGGTCTAGGAGGGAGACTATATTGGTCGTTGTTAAATGATATGTTAGTACACATGTTTGCTATATCCACTCCCAAACAGTATAAATTTGGAGTGGAAGCCGAAAATGCCCTTTTGGTGTTGAGGGTGTTTTCTGGAATGGACTTGGCCTGTTTTTGATTTGGGAGAAGGCAATTTAGTCCTCACACACCCCAAAGTTACTGTTTGAAATGCGAAATGCTATTTGCGCTCGTGGGGCCCGCCGCGAGCCAACTCTTTGTGAGGGGGGGCAGGCCAGTGGACCCCGACGCTTTGTGGGGCCCACTGGCCTGCCCCCCTCCTCACAAGGTTGGGCTCGCGGCGGGCCCGCGAGCCAAATAGCCCGCGTTGTTTAGGAAATAGATAATAGAGCTATGGTGACTGAGGGCGGGGTGTGATTAGACAATTGAGATGTGATTAGGAGAATAAGAGTGATCAGACAATTGAGTTTAGTCTCACGTTTACCTACACCACAGAACTCTTGCTGTTGTATCATTTGACCAATGGATGAGAATCTCCATTATTCTATTGTTTACCAAGCGCGTAACGCGTAGTTGCGAACTTACGCTATTTAGATCCTTTGTGAATCTGCATCTCTAATAATGTTCATGAAAAATGCTGACCTCCTTCTTCTTCCTCCTCCTCCTAGTGATTACAGCCTCAGGAGAAGACGAATTCACCTTCAATGGATTCAACAGTGCCAACCTGAGCCTTGACGGCTCCGCGTCGATCACAAACAACGGCCTCCTCGAGCTAACCAACGCCACTCAGATGGTGAGCGGCCATGCCTTCCATCGCCTCCCGCTTCACTTCAGGTCTCAGACCGGTAAAACCATCTCATTTTCCACCACATTCGTATTTGCTATTCTCTCTGAGACCTCCAATCTCAGCGGCCATGGCATCTCTTTCTTTGTCTCCCGCACGTGTGATCTATCTACTGCTCTCCCAACCCAGTACTTGGGCCTGTTGAATGTAGACAACGATGGAAACCCAGCCAATCATATTTTAGCTGTTGAGCTTGATACTGTCCAGAACCCCGAACTTCAAGATATCGATGATAACCATGTCGGTATTGATGTCAACAGCTTGAAGTCCATCGACTCGCATGGAGCTGGTTACTATGAAGATAGCACTCGTTTTCTTAGAAACTTGTCACTTACAAGTGGACAACCAATGCAAGTTTGGATAGATTTTGATGGCGAGGAGACGAAACTCAATGTTACCTTATCCCCGTTGAAATTGCCAAAACCTAGTAGGCCACTCTTATCCTCTACCGTCGACCTGTCAAGCTTGATGCTAGATACCATGCATGTCGGTATTTCTTCCTCGACTGGTTCTTTCCGTACTCGCCATTACATTCTCGGGTGGAGCTTCAAGAAGAACGGGGTAGCGAAGCCCCTCGATTATGACAAGCTTCCTTCACTCCCTGTTTCTAAAACTAAAGGTAGTAGTTCTGAGGTTTTGGCGACATCATTGCCCGTAGCTTCGTGTTCATTTGTATTATTAATTGTTGCTTCTACTGCGATCGTAATAAGGAGGAGGATAAAGTACGCGGAGCTACTCGAAGATTGGGAGCTCAAATACGGGCCTCATCGGTTCTCGTACAAAGACTTGTACGAAGCAACAAAAGGGTTTAAAGAGAGTCAGTTACTCGGGATGGGAGGCTTTGGTAGAGTCTACAAAGGGGTTTTGCCGACTTCCAAGATGGAGATTGCAGTGAAGAAAATATCTCACGGATCAACACAAGGTTTGAGAGAGTTTGTGGCTGAAATTGTCAGCATCGGCCAGTTCCATCATCGAAACCTCGTGCAGCTCTTAGGCTACTGTCGCCGCAAAGGAGAGTTCCTCTTGGTATATGATTTCATGCCCAATGGTAGCCTTGACAAACTTTTACATGACTGTACCAAGACTACCCTTAATTGGGCTCAAAGATTTCAGATCATCAAAGGAGTGGCTTCGGGTCTTTTATACCTGCACGAGGACTGGGAGCAGGTTGTGATTCACCGAGACATCAAGGCTAGCAATGTGCTGTTAGATCGTGATTTCAATGGGAGGCTTGGAGATTTTGGTCTCGCGAGATTATATGATCGAGGCACTGATCCTCAGACTACTCGTGTTGTTGGAACCATGGGCTATCTTGCTCCTGAGCTTGCTATAAGTGGAAAGGCTACAACTTCAACCGACGTTTTTGCGTTTGGTACCTTCCTACTTGAAGTGGTATGTGGTAGGAGGCCGATTGCAACCCATTCAGAGTGCGAGGACCTGGTCCTTGTAGAATGGGTTTATGAGAATTGGCGAAGGGGGTCACTAATTGACACAATGGACTCAAGATTGCGAGATGAGTACAGAGATCATGAGGTGGAGTTAGTATTGAAGCTTGGCTTGCTATGCTCACATCCAATTCCTGAATCAAGGCCAAGCATGCGCCGAGTGATGCAGATTTTGGATGGGGATGCACAGCTCCCTGAGTTGTTGCCGAGTTTTCTCAGTCTTAGCAGTCTTTCATTGTACCGAAGTGCAGGGTTTGATAACTATATTATGTCATTCAACTCCTCAGCAGCCCTTCATTCATCTGTGATATCTGACTTTGTGTGTGAAAATTGATATTTTTACCTTTTGGTTGCAAACTTGCAATATAACTTGCTCACTATAAGCAAGATGGATTGTTGAGTTTTAACTGATCTTATGGAGTGATCAAACTTTTATATGTCCATAGAACCTTGTTGTTGTTCCTTCACACAGCTAAGATGAGTCTAGAGTTGGAAGGTACTGTGCCCACTCTGTCTCCCATATAAATTTTATACAAAATTAGCTAAAGTGTTTCTTTGTCATTCTTCTTACTTCTGATTGGTGTTCTTCATTCTGAGATAGCAAAATAACCCTTGCTTAAAATCTGGATTTAGTTTACTTCTCCAGAAAAGAAACCGGATTCAGTTTGCTCTAAGAAATCAATGAGAAATACTATTGTTTTCCAGAGATTGGAAACTCGGTGTCCTTCGCAATGGAGTCTTTCAAAGTTCGTGATGATTTTATTGGCATTTCTTCAAATTTTTGTTTGCTAGAACGGAGCGATTACCGGTGTTTTTCCTTGGATGCCGGCCGTACCTCCAGTTATTTCATTTGGAGACTTGGTTCACCGACTCAAGTTGTACATAGATCACGCTTAATTGAAAATTGATGACCAAGATATCTTAGTATCGATTTTAAATTTTATGTTTATTACTTTTTTTGAAATAGTTTGGTCGATGTAGCTTTATGAGATGATTTAAGAGGGACTTCACATATTCTTCTGAATATCCTAGTTTTCCAGCTACTCGATTTAAACTCTGAACTCAGTATTGCTTTAGCTTTAAACTACTGCTAGTATCGTCACTTTGTGGCTAATATCTGACATGAATCAAAATCTACAGCAAGCTTCATTGTTTTTTGCTGGGAAGCGAATGATAGTTAATGAGCGTGGAACTTTCTGATTGTCCAAAATCAGGTAACATTTGGAGTATGTTATCTTTGTATCCTGCTTATTTTTTGAGTATCTATTTAACGAAGAAATTTCCTTTTCAGAATTATTGTTTATATGATTAAGAGGGAAAACTTAAACATCTTTTTAAAAAGAAACAATTAATATCTTCCATGCTACTTATTCTTCATTAACCTTTGATTATTTTTGAATCTATTTTCTTAGTTCACTTTGTTAGGTACTGAGCTAGATATTTCTTATCTTAGAAACATCACATGTGAATGGGTATTTCTTCTTTCAATGACAGTCTGCTTTAATGATTGAGCAGGTGAAAATGAACACATTTTCATAAAATGATCACAAGACCAGCATGTTTAAAAAAGGATCTCATATGTTATCTTTATCAACCTCGACTCGTTATTTAGCATAATTCTTATTGAATTTATCCACGACGTAAAGAAACTGAAGCTAGTGAAAGGTGATTCCTATTCCAATCCCTCTTCAGTTCCAGTCTGCAACCAGTTTCTCGATTACTTCTCTGTTTTCGATTCTGCCTAAGTTCATTTCTTTACTATTATTTATTAGTTTTTAACTGTTTATTCCTTAGTAGACTCAAACTGGCTTTCTCTTCTTCGGTTTGTGATGTTCAGGTCTGTAGTCCCCCCCCCCCCCCCCCCCCCCTTCCCCCAACCTAATCTTGCAGTACATTCAGATGGCCATCAGAGTTCTAGTTGAATTGATGCTGTCACAGAATGTTAAATGTGCACTCTATGTCTATCTTCTTAACTTCTCTAGCTATTTGCAACAAATCAACAAGTTATGTTTTGTGTAGATTTCCTGTGGCTTCAGTATCAAGATCTTCAAGCATTTTATCTTCACAAACCGGATTAGTATTTATAGTTTTTAGCCTTGACTGAGAGATGTAGCGGTTCCAAAGTATTGGATTGTATTATATGGGGAAGCATCAATTACACCCCTCTTCTTTACATGTATTCGAGTTTGGAGTATCTCATCTGTGGGAGTCTGGTACTTTTTTTTCCTTTAATGGAGAATCTGATACTATTGGTATTGAACTTTGATATTGGCCAGTTGAGAGGAAATTTCAGTCTATTTTGAGACTCTTAAGCATTTGAGCTCAGTGGCGGAGCTACATAGTGTCCAAGGGCATTACAGGACATCACTGGATTGTTTATTTTATGAACATTTTTACTTATTTTTATATGTACTTGCTATTTGTGACACCACTGAGATTAAAACAACACCATTAGGGAGGATAATACTGGGCATTGCCTACTGCCATGAACACATTAGCTATGTAGTGACACCACTGGGAAAAAATCCTAGCATGCTCTTTTATCTTTTCATGGCATCCAATTTCTGACACGATAAAATTAAAGGGGCATGTTGAGATTCTTGATTAAGTATTTTTGTCAGGGTTTCAAGTCTGTCACTCTCTGACATTCTTCGAACTTCTATAAGCAATTGTTTTAGCATTGGCAAATTTTGTTCAGGCATTTTGTCAGTGTCGTGTGTAGCTTTAAATGCACCAATACAGGTCGATAAATCTCAAATACAGGCTTTTTTTTTCCTTTTCTTTTTTGGAGTGGAGCGTCATAAAATGCAGCGATAAGGTTGATGGAATCTCAAAAGCTCAATGTTGAGGCCCTTTGGTTTGAAGAAACTTATAACTGTAGTAATTACAGTTTGCACAGGGAACAATTGTAATTGCAGTTGTAACTCTTTGTTTCGCTAAACAGCAGTATAATGTGCTACGTGGTAAAGTTGCTTCAAACTCAGATTTGCAAAAGATGATCCTTTTATTACAATTGAAAGTTATAACAAAAAAGAACCTAAGATGAAATTTTCCAACCCAGTGTGCACTTTTCGAAACTTTGTATAAAGTAGAAAATCCAGAATTCATCATCACAAGTATGCGAGGGAAAAAAATAGCAATAAGCCATACAACACCACCAGAAGAGAGAAAATGTCGCAAAATTCTACCAGAAACCTTAATCCCACAAAATCAAACATTACACTCACTCAGAAGCTGCATCATCTGTTATTTTTGCTTCATTTCTGATGTCAGGTAAGGTCGAAAAATCTACATGCGCATCTTCGTCTTCCTTGATGACAGGATCCAGAGAATTATCAGATTCTCCATTAGCTTCCACCTCATTCTCATTTGTAGATGATGTGGTTGAATTCTCTTCAGACTCCAGAGCAACAGTTGTGTTTAACTTCTCAGTTTCATTTTGATCTGAGTTCAAGGTATCAGTATCATTTGAGGTAGAAATGCCTGTTGAATTAACGATTATGGGTTCATTTTGTATTTCAGGTTGTTGATCAGATATATTTTTTGTCTGAAGTTCCATTTGGATGTTGGATTCAGCTTCCATCGTCTTGTTCGTTTGTTGTTCAATATGACTATTATATTCAGCTGTTGTTGAATTGGAAGCTGACCCATTTTCTGGTTTTGAAAACTCAACCTCTGTCTCCTTTTTATCAGCAGACATTACACTAGAAGAAAGGTCATTGTTCTTGGTCACATTAGTATCTGAAATGTTGCTAACAGAAATTCCTTCAAATCCAGCACTCAAATTATTATTGCCTTTAGAGGCATCATCCGTTCCATTGGTCACATTTGACTCGGCCACTTCTTTGACTGAATTTTCTCCCACTGCTTCTCCTTTAGAACCATCAGTACTTGGATCATCACCATTAGAACCATCAGTTTTTGTATCGTCACCATCAGAAATATCATCAACTTTAGAGCCATTATCATTTGAGTCATCACCTTTAGAGCCATTATCACTTGAATCGTCGACTTCAGAACCGTTATTACTCGAATCATAATCAACTTTAGAGCCATTATCACTTGAATCATCACCTTCAGAGCCGTTATCACTTGAATTGTCAACTATAGAACCGTTATCACTTGGATCATCATCAACTTTAGAACCATTAGCACTTGAGTCATCATCATGTTTAGAACCGTTATCACTTGAATCATCATCAGCTTTATCAACTACTTGGTCATCTGTATTTCCCAAATCTCCATTAGCCGTTTCAGATTCTTCAATTTGGGTATCATGAACAACAGCACTTGAAGCATCGTCTCTTTTATAATTCTCTTCTCGTGCCTCTTGTGTACCACTTTCATGCTCTCCATTACCAAACACATCCACTTCATTTACATCCTTATCTTCTACAGTAGCTTCCTCCTCTCTTTTCACTTGATCTTGCTTAACAATCCTCTCTTCATCACCCACTTCTTCTTGTTTGGTACTATTGTCATGTTCTTCTTCATCTTCTTGAGTTACTTCATTTCCTTCTTTCTTGTTGTGAGTCTCATTGACAGACACTATTTCCTCGGCATAAGGAAGGCCCTTTCTCCCAAACTTGAAAAGAATTTCTTGGTTCTGCTCTAATTTATTCGAAATTTTTGAGTTCCGCTCTCCCAAAGCTCTTTTCTTCTCGTAAGAGTGCTTGACCTGATAAAGCAACCAAATGCAAATAGCAAGAAGGACGAATATCTGAAGAGCATGTTTGACCTTGAACCCACCTTTGGATCTCTGACTCCTACTGGATGCCTGTCTCAGCATTGTGATTGGCTTTTAATGAGATTTAATCTATGTAAATTACCACTTATTTGTCAAAAGATGACCCGTATCTGAGCCAAAGGTAAAGGAAAAGTTAAATGCAGCAAAATAATACCATAAGAACAGTGAGATGAAGGGGAATAAAAGAAAATAACTGGTGAATAAAACGTTTACACTTGATCTAATTATGCAAGACTGTAGTTGGAACAAAATTCGTTGTTTTGCTAGGAAGTGGAAATAGTTATTTAGGCAGAAAATAAATAGAGGCGCTATCATGCTCAAACCAGGTACTTCTAGAGTTGTATTTCCAGTACAAGGGATGATAACTATTGCCTATTGCATTTCATACATACAGAGCCACTGATTATTGATCAAGCCTAATCATATTTACTTATTCTTTTGACTTTGAACTTCATGCTTGGCAGTCTTCCTATTGGACTTCTATGGGTATTTTGGCAAAAGTTTACCCTTCAATGTATCACTATTAGACTGAATTATCCGTGAATGTCTTATTGTTACCATACAATCACATGTATTGGTGCATAATTAGGAACTATATGCAATGCCTTTACAGCATGGATACTTGATGGAAAACACTTGTAGAACATGACGCTGAAATAAACATATATCACTTAAGCATGTCGATGCATGCTTCCTCTTAGTTTAGTGCCAACGTAATATAATTTAAAGTCAACAAAACAATAGATAGGAGGAATTCCGGAATTTTAACAGATGTCATTTAATCAGCCATTTTAACAAGATAACTGCTAATGCAGGAGCAGCACTTAGAAATGGGCAGTAAACTAAGTTGAATGCCTTCACAGAAGAGGATATAAATCAGGTGTCTTCACTATGAGCTCCAAAAGTGATATTGACAAGTTTACAAGAAGATGGGATTGAAGCATTAAACAATGTTTAACGGATTACAGTATCCAATGGGCAGGGCATAGTTGTAGTTAAATTGGTGAAGGCAACGAGATATTTTGTTTGATTAAACCATAAACTGCAATGCTCTTAGCAAGGGGGAATGCTGATGGATTCAGTAAAACTGTATGCATTTCGGTTACATGTTCTACTTACAATAATTATGTTTCCTTATAATGCCATCGCCTTCCATATTGTTATCTAATATGATACGTTCTCATACAAAGATTATTTCCAGTGCTTCAAATTATGTACAAAATTAAAGAATCTAAATAAGTGGTATTTACCATATTAAATGAAGCAGGTAAATTTCATGAGCTTGTTCATTCAGGACTCAAGAGTTTGACACTATTTACAAATTATTGGTCTAGAAAGCTCCCCCCATCACTAGAATCATTAGTAGAAGGGCACTCACTATATCCTCAATAAAATAATTTACTGTTCAACTAAACAAAGATTGAACTACATCAGCCACACATTAGAGTTTAATAACTCCCTCATTAGCTTTCAATTTTACTAGAACCTGCCAAGATGTCTTTTAATCTAGATCCAGTAGAATAAAGGCTTATTAAAATTAAAAAATTAAAAAAAAACTTAAACAGAACCCTCTCCAAGCCATAAAATAGAAAGAAAATAAATGAACAAAACCCTAATACCATTCTAGCCCTAAATCTGACAAACAACAGATCAAGGTCCAATTTTGAAGCAAACCCATTTCTCCCAACAGCAAGAGAATAATGTGAATCAAGAGCAGAGCTTAAACCCATCAAAAGAAAGATCAAAAGAAAACCCATCTCAAAAACTACTTAAACAAACAAATATAATGTACAGATCCATTATCTTACACAAAAAGTGAAAGAAAGAGTACCTTTATGCAGCGAGATACCTCAAGGGAGAAGAAAAGCCAAAACTTGAGAGAGAGAGAGAGAGAGAGAGAGAGAGAGAGAGAGAGAGAGAGAGAGAGACGGAGGGAGGGAGGGAGGGAGCAGAGATCAGATCAAGAGAGAAGGAGAGGAGTCAGATAAATAAATAAATAGAACAAAGAGTGAGCTCACTATTTCTTATTCCTAGTTTGGGTAATGAAAATTGTTGTTGATTTTGTTTTGTTGATAAGGAAATGGGCTCTGATGTACTGATTCTTTTGAACGGTTACTTAATTTGTTTGATTATTTAATTGCTAACCTCTGAGCTTTAGATTTTGACTAATGTACTACTTAAGAAATTTCTGTTTATCAAAAATAAAAAGATAAAAGAAACTTCTTTTAATTTTCTGTTCACTAATGATAAGTCATATCATAACCGATAATATAATTACGATAAATACTAATCATCCACCAGGTAACAAATAATTTTAATTGAAATTTCTCTATTACCCATCTAAGATCTCAAATCTTTCTTCAATCACTTCCTTTATATGATAAATGCCCATTGATTGTCACTGTGCAACAACTCATTTTAATCAAAATAGTATGACGTCTTTGCTAATTGTAGATCTAAACTTATTGCTATAAGCAAGATTACTAATTTGACAACGCATTAAATTCAATAGATATATTGTGTTCTCATGTAGTTCGCCTAGATATTTTGCACGCTTTTTAAAGTTTTTAAATAAGGAAAGGTTAGAGACACTATTTTATTTTTTTTTTAAACGGGTTTTCAATATTTAGGCACTCTAGTTCTTATTGTTCGAATCCCTCGAATCATTGAAATGGCTATTAAGTTCCTCAATTCTCATAAGTTGTTTCAAATTAAACCCTCCAATTAAGAGTAGAAGTACAAATTGGAAGAATTAATTTTAAACAACTTGCGATCATTAGGGGTCCTGGTAGTAATTTCAACTATTTGAGGGGCTAATTTTAAAATAAATCAAGAATCAGTGTTCTAATAGTAATTTTAATAATTTTAGGAATTAATTTGGAATAGTAATGATTGAAGGGACTAAAATTGAAAAGATCATTTTCTATTTTTAATGACTGAAAACTACATTATATTATACGGCAAATGATAAGACCTACGATATTTGTGTCATTTTCTATTTTTATGGTTTTATTTATTTTACCTGTTTTTTAACTTTTTCTGGCCCACGGATGAGCTAAGCCAAGTGGCATTGCAGGTTTGATGCAAGTCTAGCACGTGCCGCGTCACTAAAAATAGTCAACTGGTTCAAACTTATCCATTAGTTGACAAGAATCATATTATTTATTTATTGTTTGGGGTTGGACCGGCGCACCTACATGTTTCCCTCTCTTTCCTATGATATATATCATATATGTACCACTTTAGTTTGAGCTTGCACTCCACCGACAAAAAAATAAAAATAAAAATCTATTTCGTGCTGAACAAATTAGGCCCAACCGCACAATCCAGCCGTACTGACCAACCTGGAGTTGGTCCAGACCCACGATTCCGTTCGACTCATAACGGTTTGTTTAGAACGGAATCTCCTATAAGCAAGAGGTGAAACAAGAAAGAAAGAAAAGTCAATAACGAAAACATCGATTTTTTTACTTGATTTGACAATGCGACTACATTTCACGGCTGTATATGAAATTTTTTTTTTTTCCTTCTTGATGAAACTACAATTACAAGAGAGGATGCACACAAATATATAGATAGCGACTCTAGGGGTGAGCACGGTTCGGTTCGGGTCGGTTTTTACCAATATTTGAACAACCGAACCGAACCACCTACAATTCAAAACCGAACCGAACCATTACAAATCGGTTCGGTGCGGTTCGGTTCGGTTTGTTCGGTTCTAACTTTATCAAGTATAACTTCACTTCAATTTATCTTTTATATATTCTTATTACCCTATGCCAGCATGTATTTATTTTTTAACTTCACTTTAATTTATTATTCTTGCTCATGTATGTATACTGTTTTTAAGTGAAGTAACTTGTCCTTTTGGATTAAATACTAGACTCTGACGTTGTAATTTTTAGTAACGGACTTGCTTTGTCTTTGGGTAAACGGGTAGGGTTTGAGGCAGGGGAATATATTCGGTTGGTTCGGGTCGGGTTGGTTTGAAAAATTGTCAACCCGACCCGAACCGCCTTACTCATAAAACCGCTTTTTTCGGGTCGGTTCGGATCGGTTCGGTCGGTTTTTTTGGTTTGAACCGAATCGTGCTCACCCCTAAGCGACTCTATCAGAATTGTCTCCTGCTCAAAGCCAACAAATTTACAAGCAATTTATCTTTACATCATCATTAATCTAGACAATTAACTCGTCAAAATGGTGCTATAGGTGTAGGCGTCTAAAAATGCCTATAGGTGTCCGCACACAGCTCGAGACAGATAGAAGACGACGAACATCGTTATCCGAGTCTAAGAGGATTATCTGACGCCGACAAGCGCCTAAAGAAAAACGGCGAATCAAGGGACCTGCGCGCTCGACAGTCAGTTCGCGCGCGCCAATCAGCCTGCATGCGTCAATCAACATGTGTGCGTTAATCAGTTCATGCGCGTCGATCAACACGCGCGTGACAATCAGTTCGTGCATGTCGATCAACACGCGCACGTTAATCAGCTAGCACGCGTCAATCAACCCAAAGCATACAAATCAACGAAGCGAACCAAACACACGAAAGGACAAGTCTCGAAGAAAGAGAACGGAAAAGAAGAAAAAATCGGCAAACCTGCGCGAGCGCAGGACGGAACAAACCGACCTGCGCGAGCACGGGACGGAACAAACCGACCCGCGCGAGCGCGGGACGGATCAACCCGACCCGCGCAAGCGCGGGTCGGATTGGTCCGACCCGCGCAAGCGTGGGTCGGATTTGTCCGACCCGCGCAAGCGCGGGTCGGATATGTCCAACCCGCGCAAGCGCAGGTCAGACCAGTCTGCCGTGCAGTTTAGTACCCGAAACGCGTTTTGACAGTTTTAAAGTGGTTTTTCGCAGGATTCATCTGTTCCTGGAGTTCTTAACTGGCTTGAGATCATCCCCAAACGTGGTTAGGTTGTTGTTAACTGAAGATAGAGCCAAATCACTTGTTCTCATCCAAATAACCGTTTCCGAAGCCCTATAAATACAAACCTAGGGCCTCCTTTCAGGGGGGGCGATTGATTATCAAGATGAGGAGGTGCTGCCGGATTTTGGAGTCAAAGGAGCACGAATTTCAGCAAGGGTTGACAGATCTTGGCGAGTTCTTCGGCATAAAGAAGGAGAGTTCGAGAGATCCGACACCCATTCCCGTCTGTCCCTTGAGATTAGGCTTGGTCTTAATCTCGAGAAGAGCCCTGATTTCGCTTGGTCGATCTCAGCGCTTCAAATCAAATACTTCCTCGGAGAAGGCGAAGCTCTGCCGAATTTTTCATCAACCGGATCCAGATCTAAGGCGGTCCACGGATAAACCCTGGCACAGGCAAAGATCCCACGCAAGCAGAAGACCGATTTGTTTGACGAGAATTGTATTTTTTTCATTTTCATTGTGTAAAAGTCTTATAAAAAGACTATCTTTTTGTTTTCATTGTAACGATTGAAGTTGTAATGAATACCGCAATGAATACAATAATTTTCGACGCAAACAAACTGGCGACCACAGTGGGAGCCAACAGCTTTACTGCCGGAGCTGTCGTGTCGCAACCTCGGATCTGCATCCCGATTGAAGAAGTGGTCGAGTACGTGTTCGACCAACTGAAGTTCAAGGAGTATCTGTCATCCTCCTCCTCCAGATCCTCCGCCTCTTGCAAGCGAAGGAAGATCAACGCCTCCGTTGTTGCGGTAGCTGAACCTTGCAACGCCCTTCCAGCCTCCAATGAGTCCGGATCTGCAGATCGCCACCCCTCCTCAATCAAGGAGTTGAGTACAGAAGGCGCGCCTATTTTATCGAAGAGAACTCGTCAAAGGCAGCGCCAACGCTGTGCGCGCTAACTCGCGCCAACGCCTTGCGCGCCAACTCGCTAGGGCTTTGGAGTCAATTGACGGGATCCGTTACGAGACGGATCTGAAAATTAGGCAACGTCAAGCGCCCCAACAGCGGACAAATGCCCTCTCCTCCAAATCACCAACAAGTGAATGGGTACAAGTCAAAAGGACCCGTTTAACTCTTGAAGAGCGGATCAAAAAGCGTCGCGTACTACTTGCGCGCGCGCGAATTCTTGCGCAAGAGGTCAAAAGATTGCAGAGGGAAGAAGTGGAAAAGAAGCCACCAAAACTGCACAAAGTTTGGAGGCCAAAGTACAAGACGGCGGCCGAAAAGATCGAAAAACGCGGGTTACTCAAATCCGACCCGCCAAATCGCGGGTCACTCAAATCCGACCCGCCAATCTGCAGGTCATCCAAATCTGACCCGCCAATCTGCAGGTCGCCCAAACCCGACCCTCCAAATCGCGGGTTACTTGGGTCCGACCCTCCACTTTGCGGGTCACCCAAATTCGACCATCCACTTTGCGGGTCACTTGAATCCGACCCTCCAACCCGTCGGTCACTTAAATCTGACCCGCGCCAGAGTCAAGGCCGAAGATGTTCTGCACCTGTTTTGTCGATCCCTGTGAGTTCCGCACCTCCGACGGAGCACCGGGACAGTGTGGACTTGTCCCATTTCAAGGTGAGGATAGTCGATCGCCTGGGTCCTTTGCACGAGGATCGAGGCAAAGTTCTGATCGAAGAATGCTTGGGTCCGGTGACTGAACCCCGAGCGATTCGTTGAGCTGGGGGTCGCACACGCCATCGTAACAATTTCAAGCCTTCTCATAAAGGAAAAACTCCAATTTCTATCCGCCTGGGGGTGTTTATCCAAAACCAAGAGCCTGTTGAGATCCTGCGCTCCCAAAAGTGTAGTTCTAAACACGTGACTCTTAAGAATGCTAATAAAGCGGCAAATCCCCTGAAAGAAACGTATTCATCTGACGATGATAACGTTATGCCAGGGGAGTCATGTCAACACACGATAGGTTGCTCCGGTCATCTGATCGATGAGTTGTACTATCGGGCTGGGGGTATGAACGAGTCTCGGAAGAGATATGCCC